TTTATTAGAATTAAAATGTTTATATTTATATTTATATTAAAATGTTTATTCTAATATTATAATCTTTTTTAAAAGAAACCGGAATTTGAAAATCCGGTTTCTTAGAAATTAAAAAAACGGAGAAGTAAATAAAAAAATTAAGAATATAGAATTTGCCAATTTGGAGAAGGAAAATCCAGTTTTAGTTAGAAGCTGGATAATCAAGTTGTGGTTTCCATTAAAACTAGATAATTAAGTTCCGTATTTATTCCTTTTTATTTTTTTTTTAAATGAAATTCTTAAACTAATTTAAATTTAAAATAAGCTTTTTTTTTATAAAATTACATTTATTTTAACAATATATCAAGATTCTTGCTTCATCAAACTAAAATTTTGATGACATATCATCTGGCTCATATTTTTGAATTTTAATGAAGGTCCGCACAAAAAAAATATATATTAAATCTTTGAAAAAAAATTAGAATACAAAATTATAGGAGGCACTCATTTTAAGTGCGAGCATGCAAGATTTAGAGATTGTTCAGATTAATATCATTATATTTTCAATTTTATTTCAAGTGCTTGATTTGTTCTCATCTAAACTAATTAATTAATGTACTGTATTTTTATTTTAAAATATTTGATTTAAAGCAAAAAATAATGCAAAATAAAAATTTTATATACTAAAAAAAAAAACTCAAATTCTTATTTTTCCTGCAAGTAAAATGCGCCTAACTCAGCAGCATTCTTTTTTTGGCCGACAGTAGCAATGCAGAGTTACTGTCAGTTTGTCACTGCCCCCCGTCGTTCTCTCTCGACCGTCCAAAGCCCCTCGCCGCTCAACAGAGTTTCACTATAAAAGCCTTACAATTTATTATATAAGCAAACACGACAGAGTTCATCACACATATAGAGATTCTGCGACTGTACGTGAGAGAAGAATTTTACGAGGAAATATGGCTTCGACTCGTCTCTTATACGTTGTGGCTGCTATGGCCATTATTTTTGAATTATCGTCTCCTGTAGTAGGTTATTACATTAAACATTCTCTGTAATTGTTGCCACCCCTACCAGCCATTGCTAGGCGTGTCAATATTTGAAACAATCCAAAAAACCAACCCAAAAATTCTGGGTTAGAGTCAACCCGTTTGAGAAATGGGTCGGATTCGGATTCAAGATTTCAACATATTTGTAAAATCGGGTCGGGTTCGGATTGTCCAGGAAACCCGAGAATGACCCGGATTGACCCGTGTGACCCATAATTTCTAGTCGAGCTGCCCAGTGCCCGCGTTCGAGTCGAGTTGCATGCATCGTGACTACGGCGAGTAAAAAAACGGGTCAAGTTTGGGCCGGTCAGGTCGAAAAGTGTCGGGTCAGTTCTTGGTTGAACCCTAACCCGACCTGTGACCCGATTTTGACATCCCTAGCCATTGCATTCATTTTACTTCAAGCCAAAGAAAAAAAATTGTTTTCTGCTTTTATTTTACACTCATACAAACGACTTAAAATATTTCAAATTCATTACATTTCTTTTACACCACATTCTATTTTACTCAACATTCTCTTTTTAGCAAATTAAGCAGCTCTTAAGCGATTAATAATGTTCAATAGTGTTGAGCATAACTTTTTTTTGAAAAATGACACTTTTATAGTGATAACAATTGATTATTTGTTTTTTTTTTTAAATATATGATTGAAAATATCTCTTATTACTCTTATCTCTTAATCTGCTTGTTGGGAGCTTTAACTATCAATTAAATGAATTTTAAACTTTAGTACATAATGTGTTCATGAATTAGCTTTGATTGGCCCAAATATTCATATACAATTATTTTATTATATTTTCTTAATTCAAATTTATTACTTGCACATTTGCATGGCTAAAATTGTGCCAAAAGATAACTATGTAATCACAGCTTTATAAAGAATCTGATTAAATTATTTGATCAGACAAACAATTATCGCAACTCTATATAAAATTCTACTGCGATAACGTTAAAATTCTGTCTGAATATCTTCTTTTATTCCTCAGGTTCTCTGCATGAAGTAATGAAGCGGAATGTGGTACGTCGTTTATTTATCTTCCTTCGCCATTAAAATTGCCTGTAAAATTCTCTTTTATGCCTCTTGTCTCTCAACAAATACAAGAGAAAATCCTCAAAATCACAAGCGTTAATGTATATATATAACATAACGTATATATAAACAAACGTTCAAAATACTTTTAAAAATGTAAGATTTTCGCAACATTTATTTACAACAAATTAATTACCGCTGTTATAGACCGGATACTGCAGCAGCAGTCTTAAATCATCACAATTCTGGAGATCAGTTGTCTTGAATATATTAGTGGCAGTTATGACCGCTACAAATCTGTAGTTCGAATCGGTTATAACCGTTGCGGAATGTTGTTGCAGCGCATAGCAACTATAGCGTGTGTATAGCGGTTTTAAAACCTTTATAAAGAATTTAAAGGCGGTTATAACCATCAGAATAACTTCAAAATAATGTTGCGATGGTCTTATTTTTTGATAGTGATGACTATGAAATTTTGAACAATGTTACAGGCAAAGAGATGGTGCATTGCATATCCAGGCGCGAATCTTACGCATCTACAGATCGACATGGGTTACATATGCGCGACGATTGATTGCAGCTCAATACGACCAGGTGGATCATGCTATGAACCAAATGATATAGTAAGCCATGCTTCTGTGGTATTCAATCTATATTACAAGGCTCATTCTTCTCAGCCCAATGCTTGCTACTTCGGTGGCGATGCAATGCTGTTCTTATCAGATCCCTGTAAGAATCAAATTTCTATATTTTGAAAGTGTTATTTTAGTTGTGTTCTTCTAATATTATCTCTTTCTGATATTGTTGCAGCATCAGGAACTTGCATCTACCCGTAAAGAATCAGCTGGAGCAGTTTCGGATTTGCTTATTTGAGAAGGGTTGTCAGATTTTTATGAGAAGATCAAGATATCTGAGTTTTAACTGATTTCCTAATATTTTCAATGTTTGAATTCTTTCTCTGTTACCACTGATAAATAAAATAAAGTTTTAACTGGTTTTTTCTGCTTTCATGCATGTCCTATGAAAGATAATAACGCGAAATGTATATAGCTCATGAAATTTTTATGAGAAAGCTGAATATATATGGGAGAAAATGATCATAGAGAATGAGCAGAGAAGATTGGATCAAAGTTTTCTTGTGTTCGCTGATACAGGAAGAGAAAGAGTGGAACGGTCAGGCTCCAAGTTGGATTGCTTGATTGGAGGGTGGAACTCTACTTACAAAAAATGTTAGATATAGAAAGAAGATAGGCGAGACAAGGCAGAATATCTATTCAAATGGTTCAGCTAATTATCGTACATCTAGTATTGGGGAGAGGAAGCATGGAATCCATTGAGATGGAGGAAGAAGGCGAAATACCAACTCTTTCTCCCCTCACTAATGTATTATATATATATTGCAGTGAAATGAGTTTAGTCTCACTAGTAGCTCCAAAATTCTCCCTTTTTACCTTTAAGAAAGAAGAAGGCCAGGTATTTACAGTGGAAGAAATAGTTGGAGCCGATGCCAAGGTGGAAGGTGCATGGGGGAGGCGCATATGATAGGTTCTCAAAGAAGAAGAGGATGTGATAAAGAAGCACTATAGAAAAAACAGCTATGTTCAAGCGGAATTTTTTATGAACAGAAGACCGCGGGAAATATCATCGGAAATACCGATGAATTTTTAGATGAATTCTAGTTTGAACTTTCCGATAGATCTTTCGACGGCATAGCCGTTGAATAATTTCTGGAGGAAAATTCGTTTGGGAATCTATTGTTCTGCTTAAAGCCAATGGAATGCCTGTCGGCTTGCTTAAACCTTTGAATTAATTCCGATGGAAATGCCACTAGAATGATTCCAAAACTCTATCACTATAATGAGCATAAAAGTCCAATAATAATCAAAATTCTATAACTTCTTTTAATGCAAGATAAAAAAAAATCAATATGCATATTCAGTTCTAGCCAATATCAATCATCACTTCATACATGTAATAAAAAATCTCCAAAAATTAATAAAAAAGTAATATGTTCAATAAAGTTAAAAGATATATCATAAAGAGTTTTATGATCCAATAAATCATGTCAGTATGATATGCTATGTTGTATTAATATTAATGTCAATAAGAGCTATCAATTTATCAATCAGTTTAATGTGCTATCAGGTAAATATCATCATGAGTATAATTATTGTTGCGTCCTGGAATATTCGCGGCGGTAGAGAAATATATAGTTTAACGTCTTAGCGTTGTACGAAGATCCAGCACACAATCAGATAAGTGAGAGGGTGTAGCGTTCATAAGAGACACCAAAGTTTTTACGTGGAAAACCCCTGAAAAAGGGGGAAAAACCACGGGGCCTGGCCCGGTTTGAATGAATCCACTAGTATTTGTAGTCGATTACAAATGAGGCCCTTCCTTAGGAGAAGGCCTTGGATTGATGTAACAAATGTACATCATATTTTTGATTATAATTATATGGGCACTACATGCATCAAATATATTCTCTATGCTCAATAATCAGTCCTCTACTACCTGTGGCTCTACAACTCCCTTGAACAATGATGGTTTTAACTTATAGAATATTTGTAGATATTCATCCTCTACTAAATCATTATGTCCCACATGTCTACTCTAATCATCACTCATAGCTTGTGACGTCGGAGCTGATCGCGATACCGCTTCAGGGCAACTTCAGCCGAGTTTATTTTCTTAGTTCATTTTGTTGCTTTTACTGTAGCGTATTATAGAGCTAAACAAGTGTATAAATAACTTGCCCTGAGAAATAAGAAGTAGTTGAATTTGTTTCCCTAACCTTTGATTCCTCTGGAATTGTTACTGTATCCAGTGATTTCACTGGTGGTGTTATCTAGAGTCCCGGTGACTCTGCATTGTGCATGAAGTTTCGCCGACTGATATCGAGGAGTTGGAGGTGATCGGTCTTCATCTGGATTGCGACGATCTTCGCTTCCAGGTACGTTCCATAACCTTTTTTCTGTAGCGTCCGGAGTCAGCTTGTCCAAGCATGCTGGCTAGCTACATCAAATTATTAGAACTCATTGGAGTTGTCATTTCTACTACACTCTATCCATTATGTATATCCTGATCGGTATGGTCAATCTATCCACTGATAAAATCCTATTTCCTAATCAATAACACACAAACTCAATATGCATATACATATGTAAAGCAATCAATCAAATGCATAAATGAAAATCAATATTACCAACCTTCTACCCCACTCATAAATCAATTCATATAGCTCCGATTATAATCCAATTCTTCCAACAACTACTAGGATACTAATTGTAACACCCTAGAATCAAATTTAAAAGAATTATTATTTAATATTTTTATTTAATCAACTAGAGTTTCCAAATAATAAACTTGTATATCTAGTAAAAATAACTAATAATTACATAACTCGAAATATTGCAATATATTCATTCTCCCAAAATTAATATACAATAGTCTCGAGATCAGTAAGATTAATACTCTATTACAAACTCCTGATTACAAAATAATAAGAAAAAATATAAAAAAAGAGAATCTATGTCAATCTCACTCAAACTAGTTCTAACTCATTCCCTGGCTTTTTTTTTTTTTAATTTAAACCCACAAAAGGGGCCTACGCGTTAATTTAAAAAAGCGTTACAAGGTCCTTAGAAGGCCCCTCCAGCCCTCTACGCTCAAACGAGCTACAATCAAAAAGAAAATAAAATCCTATGAGCCAGAGGGTCCTTTTCCTATAAGTACAATAAATCAGACAATAACACTCGGTCTGCAAGACTGCAGCACCCAAAAAACGGAAGCTCAAAGTAATCTCAGTAATCATCAACTTCCTGCAAAAAATCAAGACCAAAAATAACTTGTAAAAGCAAATAAAAGTGACGAGAGACTTACAGGTTTTCGACACTTTGAACTCAGCTATAACTTTCAACCTGCAAAAAACTCTCCAAAAGTGAGCTTCAATAAAGAAGAAAATTCTTATCAACATCCATATGAAAATCTTAAACTTAACCTCCACAAAAATCTTATAATCCTTAATACCACCACCCCAAACCATCACAAACCCCACTCTATTCTCCAAAAGAAAAACAAAAAAAATATAAAAACATTACTCTTCCCTTTGTAAAAATACACACCCTTAAGAATATGCCACGAAAACCGATAGCACTTGATACCAAGAACAGCAGCCACCCTCTTCAACTTCTTCTAGCAAACAAGATGCTTAATCACATCAACAGAAATACCCTGATTAAAATTACCAATATCCTCATACCTGTACACGAGGCCAAAAACCTCCAGCACCTGATTAAAATTACTCTTCCCTGACTTGAAATAATAAAAATTTATATAATGAGCATAAAAGCCTATATATAAAGTAACTAAAACTTTATCACTAATTTCAATATAAAATTAAAAAAAATAATATGTATGTTTAGTTCTAACCAATGCTTTTAAAATCAGACCGGACCGGCCGGTTTAACCGGTTGAACCGCGAATCGGCCGGCCGACCGGTTACCATTTAAATGGAAATCGGTTTCTCATCCAACCGTGGTAAAACCGCTCAAACCGACGGTTCGAGAATCGTCGAACCCGCACCGATTTTTGTTAACCGACGATGCTGCTCGTTCGCGAAGCAACAAAGGAAAAAAAAAACGGAGGGGGGATGGACATAATTATGTCATTATTATAATATTTAAATATAATAAATATTTATTACATCATTCGATTCAACCCCGGTTCGACCCCAGTCGAACCATCAAACCGCTAACCTCTTCTTCTCCCGGTTCATTGACTGGTCCAATTTTCAAAGCCTTGGTTCTAACCAATATCAATCATTTTTTTAACAAAAAATTTATTGCAACTAAAAAGGGGGTTACAACAAGCTATGAATTAGAACGACAAAAGCTACATCGGTACAAAAGGATGGGGGATTAAACCCATCAGGCTCAGCATTGACAGAGGCTTCAAACCAATTCAAAGCCAAACACGGGCCATCCAGTTTGGAGTAAGAGAGTAGACATCCGAAGCGAGCAAAAAATGCATCATCAAAGGTTGCCACGAGCTATGGCTTAAGACAAGCGAGCCCTAACCACATCATTGTCCACAAACCATAAATCAAAGCCACAAAAATGAAACGAAGATCATGCAAACGACAAGCGGAGAAAGGAAAAACAAACCAAAGAGCCTAGCAACCATTGCAGCCCACAGCCACAGCCTAAATGAGACAATAAGCCTTCCAACCAATCCAAACAAAAAGCAACACCAAGCACGGGCAAACCAGGTAAGAAACCAACAAGTGAGCCAAAAATCACCACCATATTCCCAAAGTTATTTTCTACCACGTCTGCCCCTCCCATGAGAGGCAACAGAAACAACAGTTCTATCATGCTACATGGAAAAACCATCCCTTGGTTCTTTATCCCCACTAAACTCCAAAGAGGAATTAGACGAACAATGAAGCCAATCAATTTGCAATCTCACATCCTCCCCCGAATTGTCCCCCACATGGTAAATCAAAGCTTTAGGTGATATTAAATTAACTGGAACATCAATAAAGGAGCAAGGATTTATAACAGCAGGCGTTATAGGGGAAGAGACAGTGGGGGCATGCAATACTCTTTGATATCGAAATGGAGGAATCAAATTTCTCAGCAAGCACACAAGGAAATTCAGCCGAAACCAAGCCACACAGGGCAGGCACAGAAGTAGCACACGACATAATAGGTTGTGAGTTAACGTCACAATTACCACCCCCTGGTTCATTAACACATAAACGCTGGCCATGAATGGCCGGAACAGACTCATCTAACACAAGATCCATAAGCACCACATTAAAAATAGGCCTACC